GGTCCATAAGTACTTTTCGAAAATGGAGCGACCATTTTGGATTGAACTCACGGATTCGTCGTGACGTATGAGGGATTTTGGCCATTTTTTGAAGAACGAGCACTTGCATATTTGGATTGTCGGCGTTCGAAGAATTGAGTGTACCTTTTGCACACGGTGTCCGCTTTGAGCCCATAAGTAGTTTTCGAAAATGTACCGACTGTTTTGGATTGAACTCATGGCTTCATCGTGACGTATGAGGGATTTTGACCATTTTTGGAAGAATGAGCACTCGCATATTTGGAACGCTTGGATTGTCGGCGTTAAGAGAATTGAGCGTAACTTTTACACACGGTGTCTGTTTTGGGCCCATAAGTACTTTTTGGAAATGTAGCGACCGTTTTGGATTGAACTCACCACTTCGTCGTGACGTATGAGGGATTTTGGCCATTTTTTGAAGAACGAGCACTTGCATATTTGGAACGCTTGGATTGTCGGCGTTAAGAGAATTGAGCGTAACTTTTACACACGGTGTCTGTTTTGGGCCCATAAGTACTTTTTGGAAATGTAGCGACCGTTTTGGATTGAACTCACCACTTCGACGTGATGTATGAAGGATTTCAGCCGTTTGTTGAAAAATGAGCACTTGCATATTTAGATTGTCGGCGTTCGAAGAATTGAGCGTAACTTTTATACATGTTGTCTGTTTTGGGCCCATAAGTACTTTTCGAAAATGTGGCGATCGTTTTGGATTGAACTCACCGTTTTGTCATGAAGTATGAGGGATTTTGGCCATTTTTCATGTTGGAACGCTTGGATTGTTGGCGTTCGAAGAATTGAGCATAACTTTTACACACAGTGTCCGTTTTCGGCCCATAAAGTACTTTTTGAAAATCTAGTGATCATTTTAGATTGAACTCACAGCTTCGTCGTGACGTATGAGGGATTTCGACCGTTTTTGGAAGAACGAGCACTTGCATATTTTGAATGCTTGTATTGTCGGCGTTCGGAGAATTGAGCGTAACTTTTGCACACGTTGTCCGTTTTGGGCCCATAAGTACTTTTCGAAAATGTAGCGATCGTTTTGGATTGAACTCACAGCTTCAACGTGACGTATGAGGAATTTCTGCCATTTGTTGAAAAATGAGCACTTGCATATTCGGATTGTCGGTGTTCGAAGAATTGAGCATAACTTTTACACTTGATGTCCATTCTAGGCCCATAAGTACTTTTTGAAAATGTGGCGACCGTTTTGGATTGAACTCACCGCTTCATCATGACGTATGAGGGATTTTGGCCATTTTTCAAAGAACGAGCACTTGCATATTGGAACGCTTGGATTGTTGGCGTTTAAAGAATTGAGCGTAACTTTTGTAAAAGGTGTCCGTTTTGGGCCCATAAAGTACGTTTCAGAAATGTAACGATCGTTTTGGATTGAACTCACCGCTTCGCCGTGACGTATGAGGGATTTCAGCCGTTTGTGGAAAAACAAACACTTACAAATTTGGATTGTCGATCGTTTGTGGAATTGAGCGTAACTTTTGTACAAGATGTTCGTTTTTGGCCCATAAGTAATTTACGAAAATGTAGCGATCATTTTGGATTGAACTCACGGCTTTATCGTGATGTATGAGGGATTTTGGCCATTTTTTGAAGAACGAGCACTTGCATATTTGGAACGCTTGGATTGTCAGCGCTTGAAGAATTGAGCTTAACTTTTCCATACGGTGTCTGTTTTGGGCCCATAAGTACATTTTGAAAATGTAGCGATAGTTTTGGATTGAACTCACGGCCTCGTCGTGACGTATGAGGGATTTCGACCATTTTTTGAAGAACGAGCACTTGCATATTTGGATTGTCGATGTTCGAAGAATTGAGCGTAACTTTTGCACACGGTGTCCGTTTTGGGTCCATAAGTACATTTCAGAAATGTAGCGACCGTTTTGGATTGAACTCACTGCTTCGTCGTGATGTATTAGGGATTTTGGCCATTTTTCTAAGATCGAGCACTTGCATATTTGGAACGCTTGGATTGTCGGCGTTCGAAGAATTGAGCGTAACTTTTGCACACGGTGTCCATTTTGGGCCCATAAGTACTTTTCAAAAATATAGCGACCGTTTGGGATTGAACTCACAGCTTCGTCATGATGTATGAGGGATTTCGACCATTTTTTAAAGAACGAGCACTTGCATATTTGGATTGTCGACGTTCGAAGAATGGAGCGTAATTTTTGCACACGGTGTCTGTTTTGGGCCCATAAGTATTTTTCGAAAATGTAGCTACCATTTTAGATTGAACTCATGGCTTCGTCGTGATGTATGAGGGATTTTGGCTGTTTGTGGAAAAATGAGCACTTGCATATTTGGATTGTCGGCGTTCGAAAAATTGAGCGTAACTTTTGTACACGGTGTCCGTTTGGGGCCCATAAGTACTTTTCGAAAATGTAGCGACCGTTTTGGATTGAATTCACAGCCTTGTCGTGACGTATGAGGGATTTTGGCTATTTTTCGAAGAACGAGCACTTCCATATTTGGAACATTTGGATTGTCGGCGTTCGATGAATTGAGCGTAACTTTTGCACATGGTGACTGTTTGCACTGGTATATTTGGATTGTTGGCGTTCGAAGAATTGAGCGTAACTTTTGCACACGGCGTCCGTTTTGGGCCCATAAGTACTTTTTGAAAATATAGCGACCGTTTTGGATTGAACTCACAGCTTCGTCGTGATGTATGAGGGATTTCAACCACTTTTCAAAGAACGGGCACTTGCATATTTGAAACGCTTGGATTGCCGGCTTTCAAAGAATTGAGCGTAACTTTTGCATACGGTGTCCGTTTTGGGCCCATAAGTACTTTTTAGAAATGTAGCGACCATTTTGGATTGAACGCATAGATTTGTCGTAACGTATGAGGGATTTCGGCTGTTTGTGGAAGAACGAGCACTTGCATATTTGGATTGTCGATGTTCGAAGAATGGAGAGTAATTTTTGCACACGGTGTCCGTTTTGGGCCCATAAGTATTTTTCGAAAATGTAACGACCATTTTAGATTGAACTCATGGCTTCGTCGTGATGTATGAGGGATTTCGGCTGTTTGTGCAAAAATGAGCACTTGCATATTTGGATTGTCGGCGTTCGAAGAATTGAGCGTAACTTTTGTACACGCTGTCCGTTTTTGGCCCATAAGTACTTTTTGAAAATGTAGCGACCATTTTGGATTGAACTCACAGCCTTGTCGTGACGTATGAGGGATTTTGGCTATTTTTCAAACAACGAGCTCTTTCATATTTGGAATGCTTGGATTATCGACGTCCAATGAATTGAGCATAACTTTTGCACATGGTGAGTGTTTGCACTTGTATATTTGGATTGTCGGCGTTCAAAGAATTGAGCGTAACTTTTGCACACGGTGTCCGTTTTGGGCCCATAAGTACTTTTTGAAAATATAGCGATCGTTTTGGATTGAACTCACAGCTTCGTCGTGATGTATGAGGGATTTCAACCATTTTTCGAAGAACGGGCACTTGCATATTTGAAATGCTTGGATTGCCGCGTTCAAAGAATTGAGCGTAACTTTTGCATATGGTGTCCGTTTTGGGCCCATAAGTACTTTTCGAAAATGTAGCGACCATTTTGGATTGAACTCATAGATTTGCCGTGACGTATGAGGGATTTCGGCCGTTTCTAGAAAAATGAGCACTTACATATTTGGATTGTCGACGTTCGAAGAATTAAGCATAAATTTGAACACGGTATCTGTTTTGGGCCCATAAGTACTTTTCAAAAATGTAGCGACAGTATTAGATTGAACTCATGACTTTGTCGTGACGAATGAGGGATTGCGGCCATTTTTTGAAGAATGAATGCTTGTATATTTGGAATGCTTGGATTGTCGACGTTCGAAGAATTGAGCGTAACTTTTGCACACGGTGTCCGTTTTGGTCCCATAAGTACTTTTCAAAAATGTAGCGACCGTTTTGGATTGAACTCACCACTTCGCCGTGACGTATGAGGGATTTCGACTATTTGTGGAAAAAGAAAGACTTGCATATTTGGATTGTTGGTGTTCGAAGAATTAAGCCTAAATTTTTCACACGATGTCCGTTTTGGGCCCATAAGTACTTTTCGAAAATGTAGCGATTGTTTTGGATTGAACTCATGGCTTCGTCATGAAGTATGAGGGATTTCGGCCATTTTTCGAAGAACGAGCACTTGCATATTTGGATTGTCGACGTTCGAAGAATTGAGCGTAACTTTTGCACACGGTATCTGTTTCGGGCCCACAAGTACTTTTCGGAAATGTAGCGACCATTTTAGAGTTAACTCACCGCTTCGACGTGATGTATGAGGGATTTCTGTCGTTTGTTGAAAAATGAGCACTTGCATATTCGGATTGTCGACGTTCGAAGAATTGAGCTAACTTTTGCATATGGTGTCCGTTTTGGGCCCATAAGTACTTTTCGAAAATGTGGCGACCATTTTAGATTGAACTCACCGCTTCATCATGGCGTATGATGGATTTCAACCGTTTTTCAAAGAATGAGCACTTGCATATTGGAACGCTTGGATTGTTAGCGTTTAAAGAATTGAGCGTAACTTTTGCAAACGGTGTCCGTTTTGGGCCCATAAAGTACTTTTCAGAAATGTAACGACCGTTTTGGATTGAACTCACCGCTTCGCCATGACGTATGAGGGATTTCGGCCGTTTGTAGAAAAACGAGCACTTGCATATTCGGATTGTCGGCATTTCGAAAAATTGAGCGTAACTTTTGTACACGATGTCCATTTTGGGCCCATAAGTACTTTACGAAAATGTAGCGATCATTTTGGATTGAACTCACGGCTTCGTCGTGACGTATGAGGGATTTCGGCCATTTTTCGAAGAACGAGCACTTGCATATTTGGAACGCTTGGATAGTCGACGTTCGAAGAATTGAGCGTAACTTTTGCAAACTGTGTCCATTTTGGGCCCATAAAGTACTTTTTGTCCTAGATAATATATTAACTCCCTGCAGTCGTCCCTAAGTGATTCCAAGTGAAAAGAGGGTGAAACAGTCAAAGAGAAACAGAAACAAGAAGCTGGAATTTTTGAACAGCTTTGTTACTCCACAGTTTTGAGGTTTGTTTCTATTATTTCTTAAGGGGTTTATGATTTCTTGAACATCTGAAGTTGTTTGTGATTACGTTGGAGTGTTGTTAATGATGTTATGATGCCCAAATAGGGGTAACTAATGGCAAGAATTTGAAAGAAATTAATCTGGACAGAGATGAGGAATTGCTGGATTGAGTGATTTATACCTTGATTTTGGGATGATACTTAGTGTTTCACTTATATATATCAATATGAACGTTTTTATATGTAAGTAGGGAGTGTAGAAATGATTTTAATGGCCTAGGATTCTGTTGGTATCATAATAATAAAATGGAAGCCGAAAACCGTCAAAGGGAAAAACTGCCTGATTTTGTGTAGTGGAAAATGGACTGTTTTTGAAGCTCCAAACACTTCATTTGTCACAATGTTATGATCTTATTATCTTCACATATATGTTATAGGTGTGTGGTAAAAGTTTGGGAACCGTTAAATGTAGGTAAGGACATGAAAAAGAATTTGAAAAATGAGTGGACGGTGATGGAAGCCTAGAAAACAGATTCTGTCCATTTGGGTATTTAATGTGATTTCAACATTTAGATGTCCCCTAATGAACTCTTGGGCCTAGAAAATATATCCTAAGGAATATTAGGTTGTCGAAAACAATTGGATGACGTTGACCTTTATAATTGGACTCAAGAGATAGCGAGACTTATGGGATTAGTTTGTAATGCCATCGGTAACTTGAAATAATGATTTTGTCTAAATTGTTTTGGCGTGAATGGACTTATTTGGGATTGTGTGTGTTAAGATTATTAAATGGAGGATTGTATTTACTATTAGATGACAATACAGGCGACTTTTCGACGTTGAGCGAAAAAGGGAATTGATACACACTCCATAGGAGCTTACACACATAAAGGCGAAAGGTAAGTGAAAATCCATTTATAACTACGATGCAAGAACCTAGTATATGTGACATAGTAATGTTGAGATATCTACATAACTTTGATAAGAGGCTTATAGCACATCATATGGTGGTTACGATCATTGAGTATGAGGTTGCTTAACCTATAGACAGCGATTTACATTAAATATGTCATTCATGAGCATTTTCATATGCATGCACGACATGTGATTATGGTTGAAAATCCTGCATGCGAAACATGATTTCAAAGTGAGTTTTCTTTATAAATGTTTTATTGACCACTACTAGGGCACCGAGGCATGTGAGGCATGCTTATGTGATATGTTTGGCATTGCGGGTGTTACTTCCTGGGTGATTGCAAAGGTAGATAGGGGATGGGCCTTTGGTGATCACGGGAGGGCGGACCACTTGACTGTACCCTTGTGATATTATGATTATTGGCGCTGCCAGGTGGGAGACTTCTTGGGTGATCATAGGGGTAGTCAGGGGATGGGCCTCTAGTGGTCACGAGAGGATGGTCCACTTGTCGGTGTCAATTTCATACTGGCCATTTGATTATTGATATTGATATTATGCAGAGCTCTATCCGGTGCATAGTAGGTGGGTCAAGGGCCCAATGAAATGAAAGATTTCAAGCGAAATGATTTCTAGTCGACTTTGACGAATATTGAAATATGATATTTTTATCGTGATATTTAAAGTAAATCGCATGGTGTCATATGTTGTTATTACTCATGTTCAGGACATGCATGATTTTGCTTACTAAGCATTGACTTATGTAGTTCTTGCATTGTAGGTGAACACGGAACTACATAGAGGGCATGGCTAGCTGTGGAGCTCCTACAGGATTCTAGAGTTTATGTACATGGATGACGACCTGTAGGGTTATTTTGTAGGCTACGATCTGTTGGGTTATATTTTGGAATCCTATATAGTGTACTTTTGAAATGGCCTGTAGACATGTTTATAAGCTCTGAATATATATGTTGGATTATGGCGATATGATTTTGGGTTTCGATATATTATATGATCGTGTCACAGGTGATTAGAAGTTAACAAACTCAAAAAAATATATATATGTAAAATTCTATGTCTAGGTTGTGTATAGATATCAATATTAATTTGGGGGTGTGACATCGACGTTCGAAGAATTAAGCGTAACTTTTCCACACGGTGTCCATTTTGGGCCCATAAGTACTTTTCGGAAATGTAGCGACCGTATTGAATTGAACTCACGGCTTCGTCCTGACGTATGGGGGATTTCGGCCATTTTTTGAAGAACGAGCACTTGCATATTTGGATTGTCGGCCTTTGAAGAATTGAGCGTAACTTTTGCACACAGTATCCGTTTAGGGCCCATAAGTACTTTTCGAAAATGTAACGATCATTTTAGATTGAACTCAAGGCTTCGTCAAGATGTATGAGGGATTTTAGCCATTTTTGACGAACGAGCACTTGTAAATTTGGAACGCTTGGATTGTCAGCGTTCGAAGAATTGAGCGTAACTTTTGCACACGGTGTCCATTTTGGGCCCATAAGTACTTTTTGAAAATGTAGCGACCGTTTTGGATTCAAATCACTACTTCGCCGTGATGTATGTGAGATTTCGGTCGTTTGTGGAAAAATGAGCACTTGCATATTTGGATTGTCGGTGTTCAAAGAATTAAGTGTAACTTTTGCACACGATGTCCGTTTTGGGCCCATAAGTACTTTTCGAAAATGTTGCGATCGTTTTGGATTGAACTCACCACTTCGTAGTGACGTATGAGGGATTTTGGCCTTTTTTCGAAGAACGAGCACTTGCATATTTGGAACGCTTGGATTGTCGGCGTTCGAAGAATTGAGCGTAACTTTTCAACACGGTGTCCGTTTTGGGCCCATAAGTACTTTTCGAAAGTGTAGCGACCGTTTTGGATTGAACTCACAACTTCGTCATGTCGTGTGGGGGATTTCAACCATTTTTCGAAGAAAGAGCACTTGCATATTTGGATTGTTGGTGTTCGAAGGATTTAGCACACAGTGTCCGTTTTGGGCCCATAAGTACTTTTCGAAAATGTGGTGACTGTTTTGGATTGAACTCACGGCTTCGTCGTGACATATGAGGGATTTTGATCATTTTTTGAAGAACGAGCACTTTCATATTTGGATTGTCGACGTTCGAAGAATTGAGCATAAATTTGTACACGATTCTGTTTTGGGCCCATAAGCACTTTTCGGAATTGTAGCGACAATTTTGGATTGAACTCATGACTTTGTCATGACGTATGAGGGATTGTGGACATTTTTTGAAGAACGAGTACTTGCATATTTGGAATGCTTGGATTGTCGACGTTCGAAGATGTGAGCGTAACTTTTACACACAGTGTCCGTTTTGGGCCCATATGTACTTTTCAAAAATGTAGCGACCATTTTGGATTGAACTCACAGCTTCATTATGATATATGAGGGATTTTTGACCATTTTTCAATGAACGGGTACTTGCATATTTGGATTGTCGACGTTCGAAGAATTGAGCGTAATTTTGCACACGGTGTCCATTTTGGGCCCATAAGTACTTTTTGAAAATGTAGCGACCATTTTGGATTGAACTCACCACTTCGTCGTGACATATGAGGGATTTTGGCCGTTTGTGGAAAACGAAGACTTGCATATTTGGATTGTCGGTGTTCGAAGAATTGAGCGTTAATTTTCCACACGATGTCCATTTTGGGCCCGTAAGTACTTTTCGAAAATGTAACGACCGTTTTGGATTGAACTCACGGCTTCATCGTGACGTATGAGGGATTTTGGCCATTTTTCGAAGAACGAGCACTTGCATATTTGGATTGTTAGGGCTCGATGAATTGAGCGTAACTTTTGCACACGGTGTCTGTTTTGGGCCCATAAGTACTTTTCCGAAATGTAGCGGCCGTTTAGGATTGAACTCAAGGCTTCATCGTGACCTAAGAGGGATTTTGGCCTTTTGTGGAAAAACTAAGACTTGCATATTTGGATTGTCGGGGTTCGAAGAATTGAGCGTTAATTTTCCACACGGTGTCCGTTTTGGGCCTATAAGTACTTTAAGGAAATGTAGCGACCGTTTTGGATTGAACTCACGGCTTCATCGTGATGTATGAGGGATTTCGGCCATTTTTCGAAGAATGAGCACTTGCATATTTGGATTGTTGGCGTTTGAAGAATTGAGCGTAACTTTTGCACACGATGTCTGTTTTGGGCCCATAAGTACTTTTCGAAAATGTAGCGGCCATTTTGGATTGAACTCAAGGCTTCATCATGACGTAAGAGGGATTTTGGCCATTTTTTGAAGAATGAGCCCTTTCAAATTTGGAACGCTTGGATTGTCGACTTTCGAAGAATTGAGCGTAACTTTTGCACACGGTGTCCGTTTTGGGCCCATAAGTACTTTCCAAAAATGTAGCGACCGTTTTGGATTGAACTCACCACTTCGTCGTGACGTATAAGGGATTTCGATCATTTGTGGAAAAACGAGCACTTGCATATTTGGATTGTCGGTGTTCGACGAATTGAGCGTAACTTTTGCACACGGTGTCCGTTTTGGGTCCATAAGTAATTTTCGAAAATGTAGCGACCATTTTGGATTGAACTCACGGCTTCTTCATGACGTATGAGGGATTTCGGCCGTTTTTCAAAGAACGGGCACTTGCATATTTGGATTGTCGACGTTCGAAGAATTGAGCGTAACTTTTGCACACGGTGTCTATTTTTGGCCCATATGTACTTTTCAAAAATGTAGCGACCGTTTTGGATAGAACTCATGGCTTCGTCATGACGTAAGAGGGATTACGGCCTTTTTTTGAAGAATGAGCCCTTTCAAATTTGGAACGCTTAGATTGTCGACTTTCGAAGAATTGAGCGTAACTTTTGTACACGGTGTCCGTTTTGGGCTCATAAGTACTTTTCGAAAATGTAGCGGCCGTTTTGGATTGAACTCACCACTTTATCGTGAAGTATGAGGGATTTTGGTCATTTGTGGAAAAATGAGCACTTTCATATTTGGATTGTCGGTGTTCAAAGAATTGAGCGTAACTTTTGCACACGGTGTCCATTTTGGGCCCATAAGTACTTTTCGAAAATGTAGCGACCGTTTTGGATTGAACTCACTACTTTATCATGACATATGAGGAATTTTGGCTTTTTTTTAATTGGAACGCTTGGATTGTCGGCGTTCGAAGAATTGAGCGTAACTTTTGCACACGGTGTCCATTTTGGGCCCATAAGTACTTTTCGAAAATGTAGCGACCGTTTTGGATTGAACTCACTACTTTATCATGACATATGAGGAATTTTGGCTTTTTTTTTTTAAGAATGAGCACTTGCATATTTGGAACACTCGGATTGTCGACGTTCGAAGAATTGAGCCTAACTCTTCAACACGGCGTCCATTTTGGGCCCATAAGTGCATTTCGAAAATGTACCGATCGTTTTGGATTTAACTCATGGCTTCATCATGTCGTGTGAGGGATTTCGATTATTTTTTGAAGAAAGAGCACTTGCATATTTCGTTTCGGGCCCATAAGTACTTTTCGAAAATGTGGTGACCGTTTTGGATTGAACACACGGCTTCGTCGTGACGTATGAGGGGTTTTGACCATTTTTTGAAGAACAAGCACTTGCATATTTAGATTGTCGGCGTTCGAAGAATTGAGCGTAACTTTTGCACGAGGTGTCCGTTTTGGGCCCATAAGTACTTTTCAAAAATGTGTCGACGATTTTGGACTGAACTCACGGCTTCATCGTGATATATGAGGGATTTCGACCATTTTTCGAGGAACGAGCACTTGCATATTTGGATTGTCGAAGTTCGAAGAATTGAGCGTAATTTTTGCACACGGTGTCCGTTTTGGGCCCATAAGTACTTTTCGAAAATGTAGCGACCGTTTTGGATTGAACTCATGGCTTCCTCGCGATGTATGAGGGATTTCGACTGTTTGTGGAAAAACGACCACTTGCATATTTGGATTGTCGGCGTTCGAAGAATTGAGCGTAACTTTTGTACACGATGTCCATTTTGGGCCCTTGAGTACTTTTCGAAAATGTAGTGATTGTTTTGGATTGAACTCACAATTTTTTCATGACGTATGAGGGATTTCGGCTATTTTTCGAAGAACAAGCACTTCCATATTTGGAACGCTTGGATTGTCGGCGTTCGAAGAATTGAGCGTAACTTTTGCACACGGTAACTGTTTTGGGCCCATAAATACTTTTCGAAAATGTAGCTACCATTTTTGACTGAACTCACTACTTCGCCGTGACGTATGAGGGATTTTGGCCTTTTTTCGAAGAATGAACACTTGCATATTTG